AACAAGGGTCTCAACAAGCGGAAGATACCAGTGAACAGCATGGTACAGGCCTCCGTGGTCAGCAACGAGGATCACGGTCTGGTCATGGATCTGGGCCTTGACGACAGCAGTCTGAAGGGCTTCCTGCCTAAGGGAGAACTGGGACCCAAAGTTCAGCATGCCAAGGTACAAGAAGGCGCCGTCTTCATGTGCCTGGTTACTGGCCTCAACTCCGATGGACGCATTGTCAAGCTTTCCGCGGACCACACCAAAGCAGGCAACTTGGCCAAGGGCAACACACTGACTGAAGCACCTACCATCGATGTGTTCCTTCCAGGAACCGCCGTTGACGTACTCGTGGCCGATACAACAGCTACCACACTAACTGGTAAGATTCTCGGTCTCATTGACGCAACCGCCGATGCCTACCACTCCGGAGCGACTGAGAAGGCTGCCAATGTGTCCGAGAAGTACAAGATTGGCTCCAAAGTCAAGGCCCGTATCCTATTCACATGCCCAGACTCAGAGCCCAGGAAAGTCGGCGTTTCGTTACTAGATCACGTTGTGAGCCTGTCCACCCGTATGTCCGGCAAACCCAAGGAGCGCAAACCTCCCGTCAATCTTCTACCAATCTCAACTGTCGTCGAAGCTGCAAAGGTCATCAAAGTGGCGCCGGCCCATGGTGCTTTCTTCGATCTCGGCATAAAAGACGTTGGCGGTTTCGCGCATATCTCAAAGCTTTCCGACGACAAAGTCGACGTTCTCTCCGAAGAGGCTGGTGCATACAAGCTCGACTCGAAACACAAGGCACGCATTATCGGTTACAATGCCTTGGACGGTCTTTTCCAGCTTTCACTGGAGCAAAAGATCCTTGATCAGCCCTTCCTCCGCATAGAGGATATCAAAGCTGGTGAAATCGTCAAAGGCAAGGTCCACAAGCTCATCGCCGACAAGACTGGAGCTACCGCTGTTCTGGTTCACCTCGCCGAGGGCATTACCGGTCTAGTCCCTGAGATGCATTTGGCCGATGTTCGTCTGCAACATCCGGAACGCAAGTTCAGGGAAGGCGTGCCAGTCACAGCACGTGTACTTTACACCGAGCCAGCCAGACATCAGATTCAACTTACTCTCAAGAAGTCCCTGGTTAACTCAGATGTGAAGCCATGGACGAACTATTCCATGCTCAGGGAGGGTGCCGCTGGCCCAGGTATCTTAGTTAGCGTTCGTCGCAATGGTGCCACAGTACGTTTCTACGGCGACGTAAAGGCATGGCTTCCAGCTGCAGAGATGAGTGAAGCATACATTGAGGATGCTACGCGACACTTCACAAACGGCCAGGTCGTCAACGTCCGCGTCATCTCTGTAGATGCGAAGGAGAAGCAACTCTTGGTGTCCTGCAAAGACCCCGCTGCTGTCGACATCAACAAGGAGGCTGCTTTCAACGCGCTTAACCCTGGAGGTATCGTAAAAGGCACAGTGATTGAGAAATCTGATGAGATCGTCACCCTGGACATCGGAAACGGCGTCAAGGGTATTCTTCGTATTGGTCACCTCACAGACGGCTCGGAGAAGAAGGACATCTCGACGATGAAGAAGATCCGCGTCGGAGGAACGCTAGCAGACCTTGTGGTATTGACAAAGCATGGCAAATCCAGGACAGCAACTGTCTCGAATAAGCCTAGTCTCTTGAAGGATGCTCAAGCTTCAAAGTTTGCTCTCAGCATTGAGGACATCTCCGCTGGCGAGACTGTACATGGCTTCGTTCGTGGTATCCTACCTGACAAGATCTTCATCGAACTCGGCAATGGCATAAGCGGTGTACTTTTCAAATCACAACTACCGGAAGAGATGCTTTCTGCACCAAACTTTGGTCTTCGCAAGGACCAGTCTGTCACTGCTCGTGTGACACACGTGGATGCTGGAAAGGGATTCTTCTGGCTGTCGATGAAGGCCGAAGGTGACATGGACGCTGCCAACACTATTGATACTCCAGCATCGAAAGGAGAAGCCCTGGTGGAACCTGTAGATCCCAAGATCACATCTACCGACGACATCAAATTCGGCGCGCTAGCAACTGTCCGCATTCGGTCAATCAAGGACACTCAACTCAACGTTGAGCTTGCCGCAAACGTGCCTGGACGTATCTCAGTTTCGGAACTGTTCGATTCCTGGGACAGTATTCCAGACAAAAAGCATCCCACAGCACATTTCAAGACCAACGAGAAGATTCAGGCTAGAGTTCTGGGAAGACACGATGCCCGTAACTTCCGTTTCCTTCCTATTACGTCCCGATCGAGCAACAAGACACCCACTTTCGAGCTAACCGCAAACACGGACAAGATCAAGACGGAGGCTGATGTGCTGAGCCTCGACAAGATCACGCCTGGATCATCCCACGTCGCCTTTATCAACAACATTGCTGAGCGATATGTCTGGGTGAACATTTCTGCCAACGTCCGTGGGCGCATTGACTATTTCGACCTCACCGACGACCTGGAGAAACTTTCGGACATCGCAGAGAACTTCCCTGTAGGCTCTGCTCTCAAAGTTCGCGTTAAGGCGGTCGATGTTGCAGCTGGAAAATTGGACTTGACAGCTGCAACCACTCAGACTGGCAAGTCGTTGACCCTCCAAGACTTGAAGGTTGGCCACATTTTGCCTGCGCGAGTTACTAAGCTGCATGACGCATCGATCGTTGTCCAGATAAACGACAACATCGCTGCGCCCATTTTCCTCGAGCAGTTGGCAGACGATTATGACAAGGCCAAACCAAGCGAGTTCAAAGTTGGTGATGTCTTGCGGGTGTGTGTGATCGATGTCGATCTTCCCAACAAGAAGTTAGGGTTGTCTATCAGGCCTTCCAGGGTATTGAGCTCTTCACTGCCAGTTAAGGATCCTGAAATCAAGGACAGAGCTCAGCTCAAGGTACATCAGGTGGTTCGTGGATTCATCAAGCACGTTGCCAACAACGGTGTGTACATCCGCCTTGGACCTCATGTCGAAGCCTATGTTCGGGTCAGCCATCTTTCGGATGAATACATCAAAGACTGGAAGACTGCATTCCACATAGATCAACTCGTGACAGGCAAAGTCATCTCGAACAAGCCAGATCAGCGCAACCCACAATTGAGCTTGAAGGCCTCGCATGTTCAAGGGACCTACACTGAGCCGGTTGAGTTCAGTGATTTGAAGGTTGGACAGATCGTCGCCGCAAAGGTTCGACATGTAGCAGACTTTGGTGTGTTCCTTGTTATCGACGGCTCAAGCAACGTCAGTGGACTTTGCCACATCTCTCAACTGGCGGACACTGCCGTCGACAAGGACAAGGTCAAGGAGATGTACAAGGAAGACGATGTCGTCAAAGCAAAGATCATAAAGATCGACTCAAAGTCCAGGAAGATCAGCTTCTCCTTGAAATACTCTCAAGTAAAGGGTGACGATGAGGATGAAGATATGGAAGACGCTTCCGAAGCCGAGCAACTAAACGGAAGTGACTCGGATGGCGGCATCGAGCTCGACGGCATCGATCTCAACGACGACAGTGATGACGACGTGGATATGAGGAGCGTCAAGAGTGCTGACAGTGACGAGGACGTTGAGCTTGCCGACGTAAACGCTTCTGACGATGATTCTGACGATGACGCGCCAAAAGCGGTAACCCAAGGACTCAGCACTTCTGGTTTCGACTGGACTGGTGCGACTCTCGACTTTGACGAGCAGAAGGGTGCAGCTGAGCCTGATTCTGACGATGATGCCCCAAAGAAAAAGAAAAAGAGCAAGAAGGCTACCATCAAAGAGGATCGTACTGGTGATCTCGATGCTTACGGCCCGCAATCTGTCGCTGACTACGAGCGCTTGCTTTTGGGACAGCCAAACAGCGCTGAGATGTGGGTTCGGTATATGGTTTTCCAACGTGAACTCAACGAGATCGAAAAGGCGCGTCAGATCGCTCGTCGCGCATTGGCAACCATCAACCCTAGGGAGGAGAAAGAGAAGCTTGATGTGTGGACCGCCTTGCTACATTTGGAGAACGACTTCGCTAGTGACGATGCTCTGGAAACAGTCTTCAAGGAGGCGTGCCAGAACAACGACGCCCGTGAGATGCACGAGCGCATGATCAAGATCTACATCTCCTCAGGCAAGATCGACGTATGTATCACTCCATGTTCGTAACCCCACAACTTTTACTAACATCAGAACAGAAAGCGGACAACCTCTACCAGTCAATGATGAAGAACAAGTCCTTTACCCCCGACCCTCAATTCTGGCTTTCTTACGCGTCATTCCTGATGGACGTCATCCAACCACCCTCTCCCACACGGGCTCGCGCCCTTCTCCAACGCGCGACCCAATCCGTTGCCTCAACCCAACACCGTTACCTAACCCAGAAGTTTGCGGCGCTTGAGTTCAAGAGCCCCAATGGTGACGCAGAGCGCGGCCGCACCATCTTCGAAGGCCTCGTCGACACCTTTTCCAAGAAGGGCGATGTTTGGGATATGTACCTCATGTTGGAGCAGAGCCATGGCAGTGCAGAGAACGTCCGTGACCTGTTTGAGCGTATGACCAAGGTTGGTAAAGCATCGAGGATACGGAGCGTGTTTAAGAAGTGGGCGGAGTGGGAGAGCAGTGTTGGTAACAAGAAGGGTGTAGAGAAGGTCAAAGCACTTGAGGAGGGGTGGAGGGAGAAGAAGGCGGAGAAGGGCGAGGACGCGTAGATAAGGGAGGCAGCATGCATTGCATCGAAGGTGTTTGGCGTAGTTTGAGTAAAAGTCTGTAGTGTTATGTTGGACTATTCATTTATTCACATTACCCCTGTTATCATACCGAGATGCCTTTCGTGATTTTAATTAATTTTCATATGAGGTGCTTGATGGCTATTTCACATGACTAACTCAAGGTTTCGGGACAAACCTTAGTGCATAACATGTATCTGTGGGAGGTCAATTGGATCAATTATTAAGTGCATCGTGGTTCGTTTGATACATTTTGATAGCTATAAAGATTTCAAGATGATACACTTGCTATTTCGCCTTTGCAAATACCGCATAGAGCTCGAATACAGTGTAAGGACCATTGTCTTTAGGGTCGCCGACATACAGCTGGACCTTTGACTTGGTCTCGTAATCAAGGGCATATGTAGCCATCCAGAATTTATTGTCACGCCACTTGCCCTTTTCCACAGAGTAGCTGAATGAGTCGCCTGTCCTTGAAACTTCGACCTTCTCGGCAATGCGGCGTGCAGCAAAATCATCGTCTGACTCACCAGCCTTCTTACTGTCGTTCGTCGCTTGGGTCACAAACAGAAGGTCTACCGTCCTGTCATTGGCCGGGACCAGGGCTCTTGTGATAGCGACAGAGCCAGTTGGTGAACCATCTTTATCGACGACAAGGTTGCCATTGTCGACTTGAAACAGGGTTGCTTCCTGCTGCGTTCCCACCAATCTCAAAGGACTATCATCTTGGTCATTGTTCACCTTGATCCACTTGCTCTTAAGGGACTCATCCGTTGACGAGACTTGAAGATAGAAATGCTCATCAATAGCGATCTCTTTGGCGATAAACGATAGGTTGATGAGCAGATCGCCTCTCTTGTTGAACTTCGCGTCTTTCATGAAGAAGTCTCCCGCGCCTGGGAAAACGAATTTGGACTGCCCTGCAAGTGATGTTTTCAAGTCGCTTGCGATGTTCGTGGTGTCAATACCCTGTGTCATGGTGTTTTTGGCGGCATTTTCAAACGAAGCCTTGCCCGAACCACCAAAAAGCCAGTCCCATGCTAGTGAAGTCGAATCGTAGATGTAAGATAGTTCGGGAGTGGTAGTGGTTACTGCTACGTCGAGTTCACCATCTTTGATGGTGGAAAGGTCCACCGTCATCTTCCAGGCAATCTTTGTTTTGCCTCCTGACAAACTGTCGGTGCCACCACCATGACCACCATTCCAATGATCGCGGTTTTGAGCTATGGAGACCGAGATGTTGACTGTGGACTTTGCTTCATCCCACTGCATGGCGTTTGCTATCGTCGTATCCCAGTTGTCCCTCCACTGGCCACCGAACAAAGAGTTCTCACTGTTCAGATTCTTGGTTGTCCAGTTGAAAGTCGCACCAGAATCTCCTGAAACCCACGGCGCTGAAGTGGGCTTGGAATCCTTATCTAGAATCCAATCATTTCCAGTCATCTTAAGGTCCTTCCATTGCCTGACCCAGTACCACGAGTCATTTGCTACAGTGATGCACTGCATGTTCAAGTATTTCAACTTTTCCAGGAGGTAGTCTTCCCAAAAGATCTTCTTCGACATCGTTAGACTAGCATTCACGCCACCAACTATCCAATTGCCCGCCTTAGAGGGGTAGTAAGGCAAATCCGGGAAATCTGAAATCCCAGTCATCTCTTCGAAGATCAGAGCATCGAGACCACCGCGTTGGGGGAAAAACTTCTTGAACTGATCCGTTTGGGGAACGTAATCCTGAGTGCTGCATTTCACCTTTGTGGCAGGAAATGATGGTGCAGCCAGCTTTTCAAGGGCAGACTTGTCGTCCACGTTGATAGCATATCCCAAGACAGAATATGGACCAGTTGCCAAATGACCTATGTATGTCTTCATGTACTCTTCAAACATATTCTGCGACTTGACTTTGAGTGAGCTGTTCTCTGTCATGCCAGGGCATTTGCTTGCGCTCCAGATAAGTTCAGCGGTAGCAGCCGCGCTAAAGCTCAAAAGAATTTGGGACGCCGAATAAGATCCGGGGTGCAAGATGGTGATCTTTTCAGCAATTTCTTCTGGGACCGCGGCAAGTTTCGCGAGACTGAACGACGTCTTAAATGCGATAGACCAACCAGTCACGTCCTGTTTCTTCTTCTCAGCTCGGGGGCCAGTCCCAGTCCAGTATTCAAAGAAACCGTTTTTGAGATTGAGGTAAAAGTATACAGATTCAGGTGCCTCCGGCACAGACATCTGGATGCGAGGAACTCCTAGAGTCGCGATCATCTCTCCGTTATCTGGTATGGCATGGTGAAAATCGCGCAGCCGCTTGTCCTTCTTCCGTTTGAGAGAGATGTCGAAGCGTGTTGCGAGGACAGAGTTAAGGCTGTCTTCTGATATCGCGATGACCTGATGAACGGTTTGTATATTGGTGTCCGAGTACCTCTTTGGTGCAGCAGTTGCCGCCTCAACATCGAAAATAGTTTGAGCGTCTGTCATTTTGGCGTATGTTCTGTCAAACAGATGGGTTGAAGAGTTCAAGTCAGCGACAAGAGATTGACTTGCTTGTGTGCTTCAATGCTACGCAAATAGCGCAGAATTTATGCTTTCGTCGTATAGCTGAGGAAGATTCATCGCTCAACCGCCACAGCTGCCGCTGGGATAGAGGGAAGCTGTCGCTAGCCGACGCTTCATCACAGCCATTCACATGCCGATGCTTTTCAGCTCAGGTCGTGTAAGCTAGTGACGCCGAGAGGATTGGTACGCTGCAGAAGAGCAGCCATCAAGCGGTCTCCCTGCTAGATTTGGTTGTTCGCGAGAGATAAGAGTACGTGGGGTCGCCGAGAACAAGAGAACTGCAGGCGAGGCGCTCAACACGTCACAAGTTGAAGCTGAGAAAGGCGCGGTTCCGAGAGGCCTAGATGAGGCCATTGTCTGCACAATGATAATTCTTGAGCTGAAAGTGCCCAGGTATGCAATTGACGATGCAGCCCGGCATTCCTTAGCGCACGGAAGGGCCGAGCCTGCGCGGGTAATCTTGACAGGGCAGCTAGCCTAGTCATAGTGCATGATCTAGACGTGCGTCGATCTACATTGTCACCTAGATGCTCCAAGATTACAGAAGTGCGTGATATATGCACTAGTGTGGCAGAAGTGCGTGATATGTGCACTAGTGTGGCAGAAGTGCTATTGAGAGCAATGCATGGCTGGCTGGCAACGTCTGCGAGCATAGATGGAAGAATAGTCTAAGACCGGATCGGGAATCTGTCTTCTGGTAGTTATTGGCTCCTATAGCCGGCTCAGTCTCGCTTAGACTGCAGGTCTCAGCTGTGGCTGTTGCTTATGGCGCTATAGTGGTCGCACTAGTTCTCGGTTAGCATACTGCTGAAGATTCGTATTGAGTTGCTCTTTACTTATATACGACTATGTCGAATACTGTCTTCATTTCCAACAAACTCCATGGCTTCCATCACTTTCGACTCAGAATTACTTAGGCAGCCGTTGCCGCAGAAGATATTGGCCGCTGCAATTGATTTCAGGGCGTTGTATGACGCCAACTCGAACCCGGTTCTTCTCAGTGTGAGCAGGGAGGGGGCCCTCCTTCTTCTTTACTCCGATAATAATGGAGCCAATCAAGTTGTCAATCTCTCGTCTCAGCTCGGCATCTCTGCCTCGTCTAAGGTTCAGGCGCTTGCGGTCGCGCAAGCAACGAATCTAGAGACCTTTGTTGCCTTTGCTACAACAACAGAAGGTAGATCATCGAATTTATGGGTGCTTTCGTCATTCTCACCTTCGGGACCCGACTGGCATAAGAATCTGGGCCTTGGTCTGGTGTATAGAGGAGCACAAGAGTCCACTTATCACATCTCGAAGCTTCTTCTAGTAAGACCTAAATTCTTCCCAATACATCTACTATGCACTAACAAATTCTCACTAGGGCAGCACAGTGGACGAATCAGGATACCCATTACTTGTAGCCGTTGTCAATGAGCCAGGGCGAACCGCTAAGGATGTACGTCGTGTTGATGTGGATACGAAGGGCAAGACCTGGCAATGGGCGTCTGACCTTGGATTTCCCTTCAATATCGATGACATGATCGATTACTGTGTAGGCACCTTACCGGGGGGCGCAGGTCGTAAAGCGCATGGGATTTTTGGCATAGACAAGACTCAACAGAAACCCACACTGACCTTCGCTGGCATTGTAGGAAAGGCTCCCGGACTCCGAACACCTCTTAACGTTAGATTGGCCACAGTTGAAAATCCTCAATGTGTACGAACAACCTTGGATGAAGACGGTTTCACTAATGTACTCGTCGCAGGAGACGGTGTACTACATATCGCATCACAGAACTGCACAGAATCAGTTCCTAGTGGCACTATTCTTCCTGCCACTCTGGCACATGAAACTCTGAATGGCCTCCGCAGACTCGAGGTCACGCAAAACGGTCAGAGTGTTGCAGTCTGGGGAGTCAATGGCGAAAACAACCTCGTCGGCCAGTCTGCAACACTTGAATTGAACCAGGACGAGGGATTTGATGAACTCAAGGCAGCAGGCGAGCCTATTCCTTTGCTTCCAGTTGGTGATCAGGTTCAGTCTTTTGATGCAGTGTTAAACCCGAGAACACGCCTCCAGCAGGTGTTTTGTCTCAAAGGAGATGGGACTGTGTCTTCGTTGCAACAAGCTGGAGATTCGAAGCTTTGGTCGGAGCAGCAACTGTGTGTTCCCGATCCTACAGACCTTCAAGATGTCAATACGTACTCCTGTCACATCAACGTAAAAGGAAGCAGCGGCGAGCCACTGCCAGCTACTCATATTCAGCTCAAATCATCCAGCCAAGTCACCTGCATCATCAATAGCATGTGGGTGACCCTCGGGTCACAGCCTGTCAAATTCAAGACGGATACCAAGGGCGCCATTTCAATCACAATGCCAGCACCGGATCTGGCTGCGCCAGACATCGTGATTATCCTATCGGATCAGAGTCACATAAACTTCAATCCGGCTCACAAAGCTGTTTCAAAACTATCCAATGCTGCGAAAGCAGGATCGCTTAGTGACCTGAAGCGGCAGGATGGATCCCTAATGTTCCCAGGAATCGACAACAAATCAACTCAACTCATTTCACAGATCAGCGACAAATATCTTGGCCAGAATGAGTCTGCTTCGATGCCACAGGCTCCAGAAACCATGTTGATGACTACTTCAAATTTCGCTGTCGCCACGGACGATCACGGTATACTTTGGCAGTTTTGGCATGGTATCGTCTCTGGAGTTGAGAAGATCCTAGACTTCGGGTACCAAGCCGGAAGCTTTATCATCAATACCGCCAAAAAGGTCTGGAAATTTGTGATTGAGACTGCAGAGCAGGCACTGAAAGCCCTATCAGGACTTTTCAAGTTCCTTGGAGATGCGGTTGAGGAAGCATTGACTTGGCTAGCTGAAAAGCTAGACTGGACCAGTATCCTTGATACAGCGGCAGTTTTCAACGAGATGTTCAATGCAGGTATTGAGATGTTGGAGGATGTGATCGAGAAGGGCGCCGATGCGGTGGATCACATCTTTGCCGACATGGAGGCGCAGGTGGCACAATGGCATGTTCCTCCCGAGATCCCGCAACAATTTGCTAAATTGAAGCCGGACGTTGACAAGAAAAAGAATGAAAAGAGTAACAATTTTGCGGACAATCCGGGCTTCAACTGGCTGAACAACAACTTGGAGAACGATGATACACAGAAGGCGCTTTCTACCACGGCGGGAAATTCAAAGGCTACAAGTCTTAGTGATGTGCTCAAGACATTGTTCGACGATTTTCTTAAACCACTGTGGGATAACTTCAAAGACACCTTAGTACACATCTGGGACGACATCAAAAAGCTGTTCGACTCCAATTCAACCATGACATGGCAGGACATCCTGAAGAACATCGGAGCAGACATCGCACTAGGCATTGTCAGAGGTATTCGTAAAGCAGTCCATGGGCTCTTCGCGGTCTCTCACTCAATCGTCGAATGGATTCATGACATGCTCAACAAGGAGATCGACATTTGGGTAGTGACAAAACTTTACGCCAAGATTACACGTGGTCAAAAACTCACCATTTTGAATCTTTGTTCGCTAATATTGGCAATTCCAACAACGTGGGTATTCCGGCTGCTGTATGGCAAGAAGCCCAGAGATATTCCACAGCTGGCCAGTTTTCTGGACGAGCTTCACGCAAGAGACTCCAAGATTGTCTCTTTTAGCAGCAAGTCGGCAGCGCCAACATTCGATAGGATCAGCTCGCAATCTCTTCCTGATGATAACTTCGCTGCCATGTCGGCAGCAGAGAATGCATTTCCATCAGAGAAAACAATGCTCTTGGCTACGAATGCAGCCTCTCAGAATCGTCAGTCGGCTAATCGGATTACAAATTTTGCCACAAAGGCAACTACGGAACAGTCCTTGCAAGCCGTAACCATGAGCTCCGGAATGAAGAGACTCCGTTATGTTTGGCGCATGGGTATGCTCATCAAATCTGCAGGCGTCATCGTCTACACATTATATGACACAATCACTACAGGACTAGCATGGCCCACAGTCGGATTCGAAAACGATGGTGCCATCGCCAATGAGTTCACGAAGGGGAAGATGATGTATGTTGCAATCGTTATCGGTGTAGGCTCTTTCCCTTTCGAGAAACTCGACCGACATCCCCTTGGATATTCGATTCGGGTATTCTCGTGGGCTTGTAAGGGTTTTATGAACGTCGTCAAAACAGGCGTGGCGGGGCCTGTCAAGCCAGCCATGGCCGGTCTCGCAGGCGTGTGGGACCTGGTTTGCTACGTTATAGCGCTTATAGCCGAGGGCATTGCTGGTAAAACCGATGGTGCGCTAGAGTGGACTCAGCGTATGCTGGCTGATTGTTGGGCTATCGGAAGTGCCTACAATGCAATGACAAAAGCGGTTGAGCCTATCGGATTAACTCTTACCATCGGAGCAGGCCTCGCGATGAACGTGGAAGGGATGATTCTTGCACGGAGGCAGCTCGATTACTTCACTGAGAATGCGACCAAGGAAGATTACTACCCTCCATCCTGGTCTACTTCACTGAGCGGGTCAATGGGCTGAAACATCAGGCGCCGAAGATAATCGCAAAATGTAATTTCTTTGAACATAGAACACTAAACGTATCGCTTTATGCATCTTAGCATTTCTCCCACTAGCACGTAGCTCCTCGCAATCATTAGAAGCGCGTACGTTCGATCCCAACTTCACGGTTACTTCAGTAATTGTTAACCTCTAGTTTTGATTAATTAATTGATAATACTCTCTGCCCAGCACTTAAACAAAGTAAAAAGGTCGCAGTAACTTACTGCTCACAATGTACGTCAAAGATCAGCTGGTGGATATTGAGCTGGTGTGAAAGCCACTGGGCCTTACTGTTACTCCATCGATATCCTATCGCCTATACTCGGGATTTGATCGCTATCCTCCGCGTCCAAGAAGGTATCTTCTGAAGTTACTGTATACCTTCAGGATGCAGTAAATCCTTGCACAGGGGACCACCTGACATTCACCATGCCGAAGGACATCACCTGGCCTGCTTTGGGATTCATAAAGTCGATGACGCTACCTGCATCAACCAGCGCGGCATTATTAGAGGATTGAAGAATTCTTACTACAATAGACCAAACGTCACGCTGGGAGCAATTGCCATCTTGGGAACATTAGCACCTTCGTAGGTGGTAATGCAGCGAAGGACCCATACAAAGAGTGCTTGGGTCAGATTCTCAGCACTCTCCCTGAAGGTCCATGCAATCACAAAGAAGAGTTGGTTACCCTGAACGAGCGCTGGCTGAAAGTCATGTGGGGATAAATGGCACACGGAACCGCGCCAAGATTCCACGACTGCCCCGGTTGACCGGCGGCTTTGGCAAAGGAAAAACCACGCTCACAAATTTCCTCATCGACTACTGTGAAACGATGAGAGGCGATGAGCTAGCTAACCAGGCTCACCAATCTCATCTTCTTGTGCGGTGCCCAAAAAAGGTGGAATTCTAGGTCTTTGATCCCTACGCTTCTTTTTAAGAAAAAATAAATAAACTAGATGTTCGTCAAGAACAAAGAGAGTTTCTGTCATACTAAAGAACTGCCTTTCAACTAGTTATACACTAAAAACCTTAGTCTGTACGGTAGAATCCTAAAGTGTAAATATTGCAGACTTTACCCAAGGTTTACCATTCATCACATCACAGCAACGCAACATGAAAAACACGTTCACTCCCAGTTCCGTTTCCTCTTCTAAGCAGACCACATACGATTAATCTTCAAAATGCAATTCGCAAACGCTCTCGCCCTCCTTGTCTCTGTCATCGGCATCAACGCCGTCCCAGCAGCAAATGTGATCAAACGCCTCGACACCATCCCTCTCAGCTTCTATTCCGGCGCTGGATGCAGCACTGACGTTTCTGTAACAACCGTCTACATCCCCGCTGACGGGAGCTGCTTCCCAACTTCGCCCATCTTCAGCGGAAACACGGATTCTGCCTTGATTGATCAAACGAATCTGGCGACGCTGCCGGCTGGATGCACTAGTACGTAACTATCAAGTAGACGTCAGAGTGCAATTAAATTAGTGCTGACGAGATGGAATAGTTATTGCGTACTCTGATAACACGTGCTCAAGCGTGGATAAGATTGTCTACCATGTCACAGGCCGCTGCGGTACTTTTGGGCCTAACAAGCCCATCTTCTCTGCTAGGACTGTGGGTAATTGCTAGTAGATATGTACTTGCTTCCACATGTGTGATTTGATGCTCAGTGGTCCACGATATTGGTTTCCTGAGTCAACAACGTCGGGTCCAACATTCCAGCAACGCTGGCTCAGAAACAGTGGTGTCCTGTGATACAGCATAGTGGCAACGAACTTCTCTCGTTGGTCTTCAGCTGTAATGATGAATTTTGATAAAGACTCCCCTTTTTATCAACACATTTACCATTATCAAAGACCCATAAGCCTCATTAGTAGTGGAAATGCAGACTCCTTTTCTCAGTCGCCAAAGCACTACAGAAAGCCTAAACAATGGAGACTGGAAGTGCTATTCTGATCTAATGTGGTAGTAGTAGCAATAATATTGTCCCTTCTATCTACGTGTCTATCTAAAATAGTGCTGCGTGTATAACGCTTTCTTCAAAATGCAATTACAAAACGCTCCAATACATCAGTTCGTTTAAATATCCACATTACTCTTGTGAGCCCTCCATAATCACATCCCCATCCTGCGTTCCAGCCAAACTTGCCGTCCCGTCCCGGGTTCCCATGTAACTCGCCGAACCCTCTTCATTCCACCCATCGCACCTCCAACCCATACCCGCCCACTCCCTCCCCGCCGTCCTCATGACAGCATCAAAATCCACATCAGCATCGAACCATTTCTCCTTCCTCTTCGTCTCCCTAATACCTCCCTCAAGTGCCACACGACTCGCTCTTGTAGTCCTGCCTCTCTTGCCTCCTATCCCACCAGCAGTGTTCAGCACACTCGACATCCTCACACGCTGTTCCTCAAGGATCAGCTCGTGCGCAACGATACTGCGGACGTAGGGTGCCAGATCGAGTGTGATGATGCTGAATGTGCGGTCAAAGGATGATGGTATGAAAATGAAAGAAGAGCGTTCGGGGAGGAGTTGATCGGGTGGGTCGGCGAGGGGATCAAGGGCCAAGGCGAAGTCGGGGCGTGTGAGGGTGGTTTTTGTATTGAGGATTTTACGGTGGTGGAGGATGGCGCGGGCGTAGTCGGATTCTGTGCGTAAAATGGGGGTTGATGACAGGCTGTGACTGTGGGATAGATCTGGGTATGTACGCTGGATGGCAAGGTGGATTTGGGTAGAGAACGCGGTGTCGAGGTTCAGGAAGTCAGAGCTATGGTCGACTTGGAGGAGAGGTGCGGCAAGCGTGTAGCTAAGGCGTGATTTTTCAGTAATCGCGGGCTGGGTTGAATCGGTGGGTTGATTAGAGCTAGGGTCGTAAGTGGGTAGACCGACCCGACAGAACATGTCTGCAGCACTCAATGAATCGGCGTAGTTGTCAAGACTTATGAGATCTCCCAACTGATCGAACCACTCAGTACTTGGTTCCCTAGATGACCGTGTACCACTTGCTTCAGGGATTCCCCAAGCTGACGGGCTGATACCCCAGTCCGCCCAGACTTCTTGTAAAAGTTCTTCTTCTTTGTCAAACACAGGGTTGCCTTGGGTTTCGAGGACGTTGTGTGATAGCCAACCCATGCCGGACTTGTATGTACCTTCACTTGCAACTCTCAATGTTTGACCATGCTCATTTGTATCTTTGCCAGGTGGCCAGCGTTGGTACATCCACTCTAGGCCACCCTTCCTGTCACCCACAGACATCTGGCACCAAAAGTCAAGTTCCATGATACTAGCTCGAATATCGTAGTCCTTCGATTCATAAAGCTCTTTCACAGCCTGCCGCTCCAGGATATGGCCTTCCCTACCAGCAAGAACAAGCAAATAGTCGGTGGCCAGTTCCACAGGAGCAGGTTGAAGGCGGAGGATGGCTGCTATCGGCAGATCTTGCATGGGTATTTGCCGCTCATCATTGCACGTGATGACAATCGGACGTTTCGATAAAGAAGCGATTTTGGTAATTTGAGCCCAGAACTGCTGATCCTCCTCGAAGAGTATATCCGCCTCTTCGATGAGGATCAAGGATTGTTTTTGTGATGTATGCGACGCCTGTGCCATGGGAAGAGTAGCTTGGGCTGAGGGTGCTGGTGCTTTGTGAACCTCAGAGACTTTCGCCTTAACCTTCGGTTTGACCGCCCCTGTTCCGGGTTTTACTTGGAAGAAGGATGCCATGGTCGCTTGGCGCCCACTGTTGATGTCATCTTCTAGAACAGTGTCTACGCGGTTGTCGTTCGCATCATCCGCCGCTTGGACGTTCTCTTGCACGGATGCTGCGCTACGTTTGTGATTCACGAGATGGTTCGCAGTCATATCACCGACCTTGTCTTGGATATCTTTTCCTGAACGGCGCATGCCAGCATGAATCTCGAAAACCTCAAAGCCCAGCTCTTTCGCCACAGCGTGTACAGCCGCACTTTTACCACAGCCATGGGGGCCGCTGATGAGTACGACGTTATTATTACGTATCCACTGCGGTTGCCGGAAAGACCTCGAAGGCAAGCCTGCCCCTTCCGCAACTGGAAGCATAATCATGTCTTCCTCCTCATCCCCTTCACCGTCTGGCACAATGAAGTCGTCTAGAGCTTTCTTTCGTTTCTTCCGTGGAGGCTGCTTGCCATCTATTGTAGTAGCGACTTTCGACGCGCCGCTTACAGCCATGACTGTCAGACTTTGTAACCAGTCTTTGAGGACCACTGCTTCCGTGCCCGTCTGTAAAACATGTGACGCATACTTGGGGCAGTACTTCAAAGTCCAGGGTTGAGATTCGCATCTTCCTTCGTCAAACGGCGTGAGAGCGCTCTCAATTCCTTGGAAGAGATCTCTCACGGCGGGGTGGGACTTTTGTCGAGCATCCTGTGGTATTCCTGACGAAGATAACCGGACCAGCAGTTGCTCACGCACCCTACGCTGTATCTCTGCCCCAGTAGTAAGCAGCCTCTTGGGCAGACGAACATCTTCTGGGGGCTCAAATTCAGAAATTGACCGAGCCTTGCTCCCATTGTGGCTTTTGAGGTTCTGCGCTAATCTCTCAACCACATTTTCATGTTCTGGGAGTGTCACCACAGCGTTCTTCAGTTTTCGCGGCCTTAAAGGCAGCTGCATACTTGTCGCGTTTTGCAGACATGGTGGTGTAGAATCGAGATTGCGGACGTGTGCGTTTTCACCAGTAGGCCAGGAAGCTTCGTTCAAACCGGATTGTTTTCCCACCCTATTTGACTGTAGCCCTCTGTTGAAAGCCTGCGGACCTTCAGGTGATTGGTCTCGTCTGAATTCAGCACGCAGTTTTCCTGGAGTACAAGCGCTCTTTCTTGGGGTTGCCGGTGGTAGCTCGGTGACGACCTTAGCAGGAGGAGCCTCCTTGGAGGCTTTACCAAGAAAGAATGGATGCGTTGGCCCAGCAGGTTTCGATGGTGCCTTCTTCTGAGTCGCTGGACGTGCCACTAATTTCTTCTTTGCGTTCAGGATATCTTCAATCTTCTGGCCCAAAGCAGATCGACTGGCTGCATCTGTGCCGTACCGTATGACCGTAACCGTAGGGATTATCTTGGCTTCCTTGCGCGGCCGACCACGTTTTTTCTTTGGTGACGCTTCGAATGTCGGTTTCGGCGGACTAGAGACTAGTCTGCCGCTCTTAGTAATTCTTATCTGTTTCTTCGGTGTCGTCTTCATGTGTTCGCTTGCAACGGAATCATTCGAGTTAGCGGCAATGTCCAGGTCCGCTACAGGCAGCGTGTTGGGCTCCACAGCTTGGTCCGGTTGATCCACCTGTTTCGGCAATGTGTTCAGTGGTGCATCAATTGCCGATTGTGGCGTTCCTTGCACCCCATTTGACCTCATGACTTCCTCTCCCGCTTGCAGTTGCTGGTGCCAGTTGAGAGCACCTGGCTCGGGTTGCGCCGAATTCAGTACATTGAAAACGGGCTCCGGCGAGGCTGTTTTCTGTCTCTTCCTCCGGTCGAGATTTGGATCTACTTCCAACGAAGCCTCTACAGGTGTGTTTGTATCGTGCACATTGGTTTCGTTTGTACTTTGTATCGCTGGCAGAAGAGTGAATCTGTCTAGAGACGCTTGGTTCTTGGAGTGAGAAGCTGCATGTCTGCCCTTGACTGCATCGGTTTTTCGTGTCCTCTTCTGCTGTCCGTTTGCTGATTTGGGGTCTGTCTCAGAATGTGCTGCGTCATGATGCGTGTCGTCGATGGGGATTCCGTTCGCGGTTGGTAATGGCTCTGGTTCGTGGCCGTCTGCGAGCTGTGTAAGCTGAGGGACATTGGAGATTGCTGTGCTGGCATACTCGAAGGCTTGGTGAAGAATGGATGTACGTTCTTGCCCTCTAGATTCATTGCGGTCTGTACCGCTGCGAGGGCCATGTACAGATTTAGAAATTATATAGCAGTTGCAGACATTGAACTGGTGCAGACAAGTTATGAATACAGTATTGTAGGCGAATATAGTGGTCGAGGTTGCAGGTGAAGGCGCGTGGTTGCCGTCGCCATCAACGATGATCTAAAGCCACTTCCGCCGGACGCGACGTGACGCGCTAGGGAACGACGCCACTAAAGCCACACTTTAGCCTCCGCCAAGATTTCGCACCGCCTGTCTTTCTGCCGGAGCTCCAACTTTTTTTCCAAAGATACTCGACCGCGCAAACCAAAGCACGCGCCTCACCCTACGGTTCACGCAGACCTCATCTTATTCGACGACTGGGTCTGGCAAACAACATGTCGTTCGACCAACCGATTGGCGCTCCTTTTACATTGGCGTCGCTGTCCAAACCCATCGGCTCTACCAATGGACATGTTCACGCTGCCGGAGTATGCAGCCTTAGCGGCATAAAGAAGAGAAAGCGCACTGAGATTGCCGTCGGTGTTGATGGAGAGGGCGTGTCTATATACAGCGTAGGTATTGCCCGATTGCGAAAAGCGATATGCGCTCAACTCTCATCTAGCTCCAAAACCCTCAACTTGTAACTTCGTATGCGCTGCCGCCAAGCACAACCTTCACATCCGCCCCGTACTCCATCTATCGCAAGGGCGCGTCCAAGGCTTCCACCCAGCGCTTCACTTATGCTTCCCTCGCCGCTTCGTCCCCGGCCGAAAAGCCGTCTTTGGTCTGCTTTCACGATAAGTCGTCGGGCGACCACACCGAGACCAACAAAACTTCGTACACACCATCTGACGGTGCGCGCATCTCTACGCTGGACCTACTTCCCGTCGCGCCGGGTGGCTCAGCCCAAGATGCGATACACGACGTACTGACGACTTTCGATAACGGAGATGTCATGTCTCTGTCGGCGGATCTCCAGGTTGTTAGATGGACCGCAAACTTGAAAACACTCCTACCATCCAGCGATACCAACATGGAAATTGAGCACATCACACTGGCCAGTGCCAGGTCTGTCATACGAGGGCTCCTGCGGAACAGACAAGACATTGCTACGATCCTGGACCCTACACCAGACGAGGCTTCCGACCTTCTAGACCTAGTCCAGGTCCTCTGTGTTATCGGCCGCAAACCGGAAGGAACAAGGGCACTGACGCTCGTCCAAGTGCAGCCAAGATCCGCTGACCTTGCCACAAGCCAGCTCACCCCGTTGAAACATTTACTTTCGTTGGACCTGCCGCAACCAAAGACCCCGAACGCTCAAGCCTCCACGTCTCAGATCACTCTGTATCCTTCCAGTGGTGCCATTCATATACTCGCAGGTGGAATCTTGCTATCATACGGCTTGTCCGGAACCGTGCCGAAACTCTACTCACAGTTTGTTCTTCCCGGATCGACTGTCGACTCCTTTCTCCGAACCTCGCAGGATGTCATCTTCACCACGTCGCAAAACACATGCCGAGTTTTCGATGTCAAGTACAATTCTCTGCAAGCTGTCCACTCCATGAGCCCCAGCCCGTCCACCTTGGACACTACTAGCCCGTCGAAGAAGAGGAAGCATACACAACCGGAAGGTGATTCGCAAACATCGTCTCCTTGCAGCCTGGTCGCTTACTATGCCGATATTGGACTGATTGTAGCCGCACGAGAGGACGAGGTATTTGGCATGCAATTCGGAGGAGCCGCATCGCGCAAGAGGACCAAGACCGAGGGCACTCTCCTTATCGATGCCATCGGAAGAGGAATCGCACCCGAGTCAACACTCAGCGCAGCCGATAACCAGAAGTGGCAGGAGCGCAAATGGAAGCTAAACAAGTATGCTGCGAAGGGTAAGATCGCAAAGTTCGAGCAACACTTTGCATCAGACCTGGGTATCGAGCTTGAATCTGCCGATGTAGCGCAGAAACACGAGAATGAGGTAAACGGCGGACCTTTAACGAACGGAGGGGGGCCAAGTCTTCCTGACGAGGATGCCATGGTGGTTGACAAGCTTGATGATGAGCCCTCAAAGGACGTGTTACCTCAATGGAAACTGCCTAAGACCATCCCTGGTAACCAACGACAGCAATACCGACAGTATGCACTCTACGCATTGAGCAAGATTTTCTATTGGGTAGATGCTACGGAAGAGGAACCACAGGGACAGTTGAGGGTCGGCTTCTTTGCACCGAACGTTTTCCAATGGCTTCTACAGACCGGGCATCTCACAAAAGAGTCTATCCGTCGGGCCATTTTCGAGGGCGCAAACGAGCAGATGCAGCTCACATCGGCCATCATGGATGGAGATATTGTCAAGGCTTTGGTCGAATACGATCCCGATCTGCATATCCTTTCGGCGGTCCTCAATCACACTCAGTTCCTGCCAGTGGGCGAGGTTGTTCAGGCTATCAAGCTTCTTATCCAGAGTATAGACGATGAACCAAAGGATCATGAAGCGGCAAAGCTTTTGACAAACGGCGCTAACCCATCAGAGGATGAGATGGACCTTGACTTTGCTTCTGAGCTTGAAGCAGCCTCGCACGAAATTGACCATGCGTTATCCATGCTTGACCACGGCCTGTTGACACGCAGCTATACACTGCGACCTGCTCTGATCCGACTCCATACTTTCTCGGCCCCGATAGTCAGTGCGACCCTCCGCTCAACTTTGCCACGCCGAGATCTCGAATCGCTCATCCGTCTTCTACATCTGGAGCTGAAGAATGGCGGCTGGTCTTCTCCACTCGGCTTCGTAGAGACAGAGTCTCCCGCTGTCGAGAGCTCAAGTGAGGACCCAGACGACCATGCAGTCGCTATTATTGCATCCCTTCTCTCTACCACCCTCGACGCTATCGGCGCAGGAGCCTGGTTGGCTTCTGTCGGCACCATCTCTGCCTCTGAGACTGGTGAAGACATGCTCAAGTCATTGAACAGGGATGCGTCCGTGGCACTCAGTGGATTCTTCGAAGCTCATTTCATACGCGGTCTGCTTTCGGAGTTCCTCCGCTATGCTTCCACTGTGCCTACGTCCAAGAAGCCTTCTAACAAGGCTTTGGGAGTACAAGGCAAGCCATTTGGCGTTACTGGTAAGCTTAATGGCGAGGAGGATCTGCCCATGTTGCCCCTTGGTTCCAAGGCAGAACAAGGTGTAGAGAAGGTGAAGAGCGGCAAAGGAGGAAAGAAGGAGCAGCGAAGTAAGAGAGAGATGGGTATGCTGATCAGTAAACGCGTGCCCAAGTATAGCTTCGAGCGCATTGTTGTATAGGAGATTGCTTTTAACGCTTATACATAGCATACACACCTTGAAATTTAGCAGGCATCTTCTCTTTTCGTCCGATGCTCCAATATAAACAGACCGGATTAGTCTGGTCAATTCCTAGTGTGCCCATGTCGCACGCGCCGCCATTGTTGTGTGAGCGGAAGGACCACCAAACCGAAGGCCCGACTCGCTGGGATATGATGTGCACTAGATCTCAGATCTTACCAGATCTACCTTAGCGCAATCCTTGACCACTCATAACACGGACCATGACGTCGACCGCGCGTGGAAAAAATGCCGAGCGCGGCGCGCGACCTAACGTGCGGAGGGTCGGATTGGATCTTCCGGGGGAGTTTGATGAGAGATCTACCCCTAGGCACATTTCAATATGTATTGAAAGCCGCCTAACTCAATCTTGTACTTCTTCCACACATACCAGGGAGGTCAATCGAACTTTTTGCGCCATGATGGCGTCAACCGCGACGAGCCGGAATGTTGTGGATAAGGAAGAGGTGGATTCTACAGGAACAGCAAGAGACACACCGAATAGCGAGCAAGGACGATCAGATGAGTATCATCAAGATGCGACCCTCACTCAAGACAAGAAGGATGAAGACAAGAAGGCGAAGAAACCCTCAAAACTCAAGGCCGGGTGGGACAAACTCGGTCTCGACCCGCCTACGCTCATGATGATGGGCAAAGCCGCACTGCCCCCAACAATCGCGTTGTCCATGTACCAAGCAACAGATGTTGCGCAAACCTTCACCACGTTGGGTTACCTGACAGCCATCATCAGCATCCTCGGATTCTGTATCATGCCGCGCGCAAAGTTCATCCAGACAATGACGATGAATGTATTGGCGACATGTGTTGGCTCAGCTCTGGCATTGCTCATGGTATGGACGGGAGTGAAAGCTCGACAACACACGACTCCGGCTGGAGCACCACCACAACGTTACAACTCCTCGCAGTCGGCTGTTCTTGGAGTATGGCTCTTCTTCCAGATTTATGCCATCAATGCGATGAAGGCGAAGTTTCCCCAGTTGGCTTTTCCTACGATCATATATGCCATTCAGGTCAATGTTGCAGCAACCAACGGCTTCTTGTTCCAAACTGTAGCGCAGTGCGAGTCCTTCATTCAAAGACTTCTTGAGGCATTCTTGACTGGGTTTGCGATCGCGACAGGAGTGAGCTTGTTCATTATTCCTGTTACATCGCGGAAGGTGGTAATGAAAGAGGTGGCGGGTTATATTGGCTTATTGCGCGGAACACTCGGTGCGCACAAGGGTTACATACATAGCCTGGAAACAAGCGATATGTTCGGGGAGAAGTACGCTCCTGAGGATGGAGATGGCAAGAAGAAGACAAAATCAAGGCCTGAAGTGGAAGCTATCAAGAAGACGACCGGAGCCCTGCAGGCATTGCACGGCAAGCTTACCGCGGATCTGCCATTTGCGAAACGCGAGATTGCGTATGGCAAATTGACGCCAGATGATCTCGAGGCCATGTTCAAGAACTTGCGGTCCATCATGCTTCCTATTTTGGGTCTTGGATCGGTCATGGATCTTTTCGAGCGTGCAGCTGAAATCAACCACTGGGATGGACAAGAGGACGAACACGACGAAGCGCTCCGCAGACAAACCGTCAAAGAATGGAACGACATGTTTCAATTTGTTCACGAACCTTTCAACAATATCTTCCAAGCTCTTGATGATGGACTTGCACACGTCATGTTAAAGTTACAGCTCACTAAGCCACCCAAAAAGAAGAAGGGCCAAAACCAAGATGATGCTGAAGCAAAAGGTGACGCTATCAAGCCAGGACAAGCAGGCTTCGCAGAATACATGCAAAAGCAATCAGATGCCTTCTTCAGCCGGAAAGAGCCTACTCTCCGCCACTGGGTTGAAACAAAGGGCATCAAGCTTCGCGATGACTACTTTTCATCGCCATCAGCACTTGACGAAGAAACTTTGAAGCTCATGCCCAGCATCACCACACGAAAGCGAGATCAACGACAGCTCTTTATGGTACTCTATGTCATGTTCCTTTTGGGTTCAATAAGTCGCTCAGTCATCGAGTTTATCAAATTCGCGGATCAGCACGACCAAGCAATCGCGAAAAGCAAGTTCATCTGGCCTGGTGGACGACGCTTCAAGAAGTGGGCAAAGAGCATATTCCAGAGCCAGGACTCCACTTCTGATGACGAAACAACAGTCGCTGGGTTTGACAGGAGCAACACGACTGTTTACATGGGCGAGGCGTATAAAGAGAAAAAGGACCCTGAGCATCTGCCACCTGCCAACACGTGGGAGAAGTTTGGCAACGGTATTCGTGCCATTTCACGTTTCCTTCGAAGTCCCGAATCAGCCTTTGGTTTCCGTGCCGCGTGTGCCACGATGAGTATCGCTATTGTGGCCTTCCTTCGCCCAACTCAACAATTCTTCGTCGAACAACGCTTGGTCTGGGCGCTTATCATGGTCGCCATCTCCATGACTCCAACGGCTGGTCAATCCATTTTCCAATTCATACTCAGAATCGCTGGTACCGCAGCCGCAATGATAATAGCCTGGCTTATATGGTACATTCCTGGGCAGAAGACTCCTGGTATCCTAGTATTCCTTTGGGTCTTCGTCGCAATCGGCTTCTACATCCCGCTAAAGCGAATGGATCTGGTTATTGTCGGGCTGATCAGCGTAGTCACGGCCACCATGATCGTCGGTTATGAACTGCAAGTACGCAAGATAGGAGAGCAGGCTGCAACCGCAACAACAGGCCAACCCGCATACCCAATCTACGAGCTTGGCCCTTACCGTCTCGCCACCGTTGTCGGCGGTCTAGCCGTCGCCTTCTTTTGGACCATCTTCCCTTACCCCATTACTGAGCACTCTGCGCTTCGCCAGAAACTCGGTGGCGCATTGTACCTCTCTGCGAACCTCTATTCCATCATGCACGAGCAGGTCATGGGTCGCATTCGTGGTGAACTTGGAGGTGACGAGGAAAGCGACAAGGAGAGTCCGGGTTACCAGCTCGTCAAAGCGCGAAACAAGGTGTTTGCGAAGCAGATGCTCACTTTACAAGGACTGAAAATGCATGCCGGATTCGTGAAGTGGGAGTTTCCACTTGGGGGCAAATTTCCAAAGGACGAGTACGAAAAGATTATCGGTTATGTCGAAAAGTACGTATATTATTCTAAACTACTGCCAACGATGACGAGCACGCACTAACACAAGTGAACCAGTATCGTAAACTACACGGCCCTTCTAGGCTACGCCTCCCAAGCCTTCACCCACCCCTCATTTAACCACCAGTCCGCCGATCCCACATCCCCTCAAACAGACGAAGCCCCCTTCCCAGACCATCACTCCGCGCAGTGGTTCAACGATTTCCGCCGCGTCATTCTCTCCGCAAAAGTAACTTCGCATGAAATAACATCCTTGCTCGCCATGCTTTCCTCCAGCATCACAAATGCGCAACCTCTACCTCCTTACCTCCACGCACCCCCGGGAGCCCAATTAAGTCGGAAACTCGAGATGGTGGACCCGGAGATACTGAGTTTGAGACATATTGCTGAACCGGGATATGCGGCATTTGCAGTCATGAGCATAAGTACGAGGTGTATACATATGGATATCGAGAGGTTGTTGAAGGCGGTTAAAGGGCTGGTTGGGGAGTTGGATTTTAGCTTTCATGTTGTTAGTACCAAGGGGGCTGACTCGGGGACTTCATCAGAGGAGACGCTTGTCAAGAGGATGACGACGAAGCAGGATTAGCAAATGCCTTGTACGTAGTTTAGTAATATATTGTAATATCTTTCCAAAGCTTGTGTAATACTAGAGATCACTTGGTATGCATATATGTAATAGCAGGGCATTTGAATACGCATGCAGCAAGTAAAAGACAAGAGACGAGATTGTAAAAAGTAGGGGTATCCAGTCTCATTCACACATCCATGCAGGTATATACGTCCACCCCTTGATATCAAACGCGCGTAAAGACAAAACGTAAGGAGACATGTACAAATTACAACCTTGGACTCGTATCATTCCAACCCAACCAACATGCACATCGTTCGTCTCTCCCAGTCTCGTTCCTCATCCCATCCACCCTTGCAAGAAAGAAAAAACGATAAGAAATCAACATCCTCACTTCTTCTCTCTCATCGATAAACACGACCCTACAGCTACTTACTCTGCTACAGGCATACTCTCCACTTCCTCACTCAATGCCCTCCAGTTGTCCGCTTGCAACTCCGCGTATTTGACCCTCTCCTGCGCCCACTCCTGATGCAACCTACTAACATGATATTGGCTCTTTTGGAAAAAGGCAAGTTCATCGCGGATGCATTCCGTAATGAAGACACCACGCGCATGTTGTTGAACAATAGATTCCTTGTCCTGCATTTCATGGTCAGAAAAAAACGTGGGAAGGAAAGGAATGATAATGACTGACCTTGAAAATAGCATCCTCCACCTTCTCTGCCTCACCCGGCTTAATTTGCTCGGGAGTTTTCTGGCGGATATTCTGGAGTTTAGTCTCATTGTTCGCGATACGCTTTTCCAATTGTGGGATGTTATCGCGAGCGTACTTGTCCTGGCGGTCAAACATGTCGCGTACACTGACAAGCGTATCCCTCTGTCTCTTCAAGTCTTCAAGAACACCTTCTTCCCATCCTCTGGCTTCGTCTTCTAGCAGTTGCCTGCTCGAGTCGAGATGTCGTGCTGTGGCGTTCATGCCCTCGTTTAGCAATGGGACATCGTTTGTATCGACGGCATATGTCTCTTGACTTGATTCCGTGAGGCCGCTGAGAGCAGATGAGAAACGTGCGTACTCTGCTGCCATGCCTTCGTTGCGGCGGGAGAGTCGCTCCATCATGCTGCAGAGGGTGATGTAGGTTTCTGCACTACGACGGACGCCCGAGCGGACAGTATCGAACAATTCGGGGAGCGTCTTTGGGAGCGAGTCTTCGAGATCTGGAGGTAGAGGTTTGCCAGTGAATTCTTCTTGGATGGAGAGATTGGCTTGTTTGCGCCATACTGCAAGTTCCTGTTTGGGTCAGTATGTCGAGACTGTGATCCGGCCGAGTAAGCATACCGTGGGCACTGTCAAGAACATGACTACCAATTGCTCCTGGTTGAGGACAGGGTGCCGTACGAGCGCGTTGGTAAAGCGCGCGAGGCCTTTTCTTCGCTTCTCAAGGAAAGTAGCATCTGCAGCTATTGGGTTGCCGTTGACTAAGAAATCTCAATACGTATCAAGGCCATGGCAGGATAGGTACTTACTACCGACTCTTTTGGGGGGCAATAGTGGCAATTGCCTGAAGGGATACCGCTTGTGCAGGCAGTCTAGCAACCAGACGAAATCACTGTATCGGCGGACGACCTTTGTTGTGCGCTTGGAGCTAGCGACCTCATAATTGCGGTGCTGGAACATGAACATGCCCTCCTTCTCGGAGAGTGCTGTGATAGTTATGACCTCCTCGTTCCCACTGCCACCTGGGTTCAAGCGGCCAATGGATCTGCCCAACTCTGGTGTCGCGTTTGAGCCAGCCTCTTCAGCAGTGGGTGCGCCAAATCCTCCTTGTTCCAAACTAGGGGCGGAGAAGGGTTGATTCGCGCCGCCATTGTATCCGCCCCAGCCGCCCTCGCTGCTCAAGGAACTTGGTTGGACGGGCTGCGGGATGTTCGAGGAAGCCGCAGTCGACTGAGTTGTAAATTGGCTCGTCGTTCGTGCGGTAGTGGGTACGCTTGAGCCGTTGGTATGCGGTTGTGAGCTTGTGTAGCTCGCGTGGCTATGACCTCTGTGCAGGTCGGGGCTACCCCAAGGATCGGCCTCTGGGTCGCCGAAAGATTGCTTGCGCATAGGCGCACTCGACCTGTTTGCAGGAGACGGTTGCTGCGCAGAAGGCTGGCGTTGTGGGGCAGGAGGAGTGGGCGGCTGGACCTGTTGGGGAGGCGGAGATGGCTCGCGGGCCTTGGTGGACTGTGGCAGCGTCACGGTTGGAACGGGAAGATCTGGCAGGGCGTCAATGTCGTCTCTTGGTCGCATGCGCGACAATGCTAACACTCACTCCTTTTCCTCTCGTCGACGCTGTCCAGGGTGATGTCCTCATGCTCTTGCGCCAACCCAATCAGGGCGAAGACAACATTGAACTCGTTCCTTCCCAGTTGGGAGCTGACACCAGACGGCAGCACGATCTCGAGTATCTTGGACTGCGCGTGACCTGGGATATCACTATCGGCCAGCAGCTTCTTGACACCCTCAACACTGATACCATTGCCTTCGCGGTTCCCAGCGTCGAGCAGTGCGTCGAAAGCGTCAATGTACGAATCGGGCACGTCCGAGGCAGGAAGCAGCGACTTGACGAGAGCTTCACGTGGAGCTTTCTTGGGGGTTGGGAATCCCCAGGGCGAGTCGTTGGCGTCCAGGTCGTCTGCGAACAAGCTGTTGCCCGTCTTGCCCGCCGGCTTGGGATCGTCATCGAAGAGCGACGACTGCTTCGCGCGCTGCGGCGCGTCATCGTCGTCACCGAATAAAGACATTGTCGCCTAGAGGAGATGCGCAGTCGGCTAAGTATTCACAACCTACACGTCGTCGATGGGTAGAGCTGCAGGGCCGCAGCTTAGACTGGAGACGCTACACGCGATGATAACATGGAGCTATGATGCGGCGGTGCAAGGAACCGGACTCCACTAACGCCCGACCCATGCTCCACGCACATCGTCACAGCCTTATCATGCCTTGGCACTTATCTTCATACCGATGCTTGACACTTGTAGAGACGTGATTTGACAATATTGTTATTTTGCTATAGCTAATTCAGATCATAAGTCTGTCGGTCGCACATCTGCGCCCTCCTCCCAAATCAAAGAGCCTGACCTTGTAGTCGGCGGGTATCCAGTCCTCGTAGAAACACCAAAGATTTTTTAACTTCCAATTGCGCCATCCCATGCCAATGCTGTGTGGAGTGTCCACTTTCCTCAATCATGCTACCAATGCGCCGCTCAATGTGGGGGTATATACGTGCTATCAACATTTCAAATATAAACAGAAACATGCGAGAGAAGATGCGGCGCAAACAAGCTACCTGTCGTGGTCTGTCCGGCTGTGCTGTCCGGGCCTGCTAAAGTCAATCGTTGACGTCGATTCATCCTGTGCCAGTGGTGTACTTGGTGCCGATGGGCGCACCATCTCTCCACCGAGAACACTTCCTCCAAGTGGAGCGGCAGGCGAGAATCGAATGCGAGGCGTGCGTGTTGAGTTTGGCGTAGCGGAAAGGTTGACAACCTCGCTTGAATCCGTCACTCCATGAGAAGTCGTTGGTGAGTTCACCCGATCTTGCTCGCTCGCAGCCGGCACACCCGTAGCCTGCGTGGCCTCCTCTTGTTGCTGACGAATAATGTCTGGAGACCAAGTTTGGCCACGAGGCTGAGCAGGGATGATGGTGACAGGCAGAACCGTTTCGTTCTGTGACCCCAACTTCTTCTTTGACCTTAGCTTCTCACCTTGCTGTGCAGCAAAGGTGCCGAGTCGATCGGCCAGAGCTAGCCCGTTGTAATTGCGAGGGGGTATGTTCGCCGCTACATCGTCCACTGCAAGTGGCTCGATGACCTGACCTCTCTGGAGCTCTTTCGGGGGTGTCCGTCCTTTCCGCCTGAATGGGTTTCCCAATGCTTGCCACTGGAATTTGCTCCTGCTAGTGACTGGCTCTAGTTCGCCTCCCTTCTCCGGGTCCTCGGGATCAGCTGCTTGAGGTTCTTGCGACGAGGCTTGTGCTTGTGGCTGTGCTTCATGGTTCCCAGGTCTACCGTCTGCCGGTGCAGGGCGTGGGTTCACTGGTGTGTCGCTGATTGGGTGATAGCGGACTGTGTATACAGTCGAGTCGGCGCTCGTTGTGTCTGTCCTACTCACTGGTGATGCGATGACTGGCACTGGTGGCGGGGTCTGCACTCGTACATAGGCCCGCGAGTTGCGATCTCCACGTGTCGTAGATGGGGACCGTCGCATGACTGGAGGTGGTGCTGGAATGTGGATAGTGCGCTTCTTTCGTGCTTCCGTTCGTGGCGTTTGGGTCATGTTCCGTCCAAGCTTCTGGGCAAACTCATTGAACCGACCAGCGTGTGCAGATGCGAAAACGCTGAATCCGCCTTGACCTCCCCCGCTCTTCTTCTCATCTTTTTCTGATGGCTGGCCCTTCCGTTTTGAGGGCCATTTGGAGTCCGATGGGCTGTTGTCGAGCATATCGTCTCCGTCGTAAATTTCTCTTCCTAGAATTCCGTCCTTTCTCTCTTCTCTTTCCAGCGCTTCAATACGCTCCACCCACTCCCAAACAATTACGCTAGCAGCCGCCGCTCCAACCCAGCGGAAGTAGTCTCCCCAGCCGGCAATAGTGTAGTTTGCGATGTCGGTAATGAAGAAGACAACCGGCGTAAGGATAGCGATGATGGACAGGAGGGAGATGACACTCATGTTCCACATCATGGAGTGGTAGAAAGCATATCGTCGCTTGGTGATGGCGTAGTACATAACCCAGGCGGCATAGAGCATGCTTAGTGATAACTGAAACAGGTAGCTGAGGGCAGGAATGGCGGTATCGAAATGTGCGGGGCGGCGTTGGTTTTCGTACGGACCAAAGCTGTTGAGACAGCTGAATGCGATGTCGAGAAGGATGAGGGCGAATCCGACCCATTTGATAATGACCTTCTCTTTGTGGCGTGGAAATAGGCGGATCAGAGTCTGTACCTGCGCGAGCCAGAGAAATATGTCGGACACGACACGCGAAACCTTGATTTCCATGCCGGCTACGACCTGATCCCGCAGTTCCATGGCGTCGATGAAGCCCTCCTCGTACTGGCGTTCGGCGATCTTGAAGGTGTCGGCAGTGGCGAGTGTCAGAGAAATGGCGACGGTCAGGGCTGCGGCCTTTTGCAACCATGGGCGGCTTCCGACTCCTATGATAGATCCACCTCCTGTTGCCCCGCTAATCATTCCGCGCCGTCCCATGAGCCCTGAGCGTCCCGAAGCGTTGCCGACGAAGAAGGTGCGAGGTGTGATGATGAGCATGATGACGAGCATCCAGGCGATGACGGTCGCGGCGCCTGTCGCGTAGGCCTGGGGTGTGATGGAAGCGTGGAAGGGGTCGCGCATGTCGGCTACACTGGTGATTCCGCCTGTGCCATCGTCCTGGGAGGTGGCTGCGTTGGTGCATAGCGGGCGGAAGACGGCGTTCTCGTCGAGGTAGATGGTGTTGCCAGGCGAGATTTCAATGGTACCGAATTTGGGCAGCTTGTACGAGGGGCAGTGCTGATATCGGTCGTCAGTCGCGTGCGTGGGCCGTGTCGCGGTCGTGATACTCACGTAGGGTTGGGTGGCATCGGGCGCGCGACGGTCCAGGAGAGGCGCCCCATACCAGGACGAGTCGGCCTCCCACATGCTCGGTCGGCGGTCTATGACTGTCCAGCAGCAGTTGGTGTCCGGTAGAAGAAGCCCATGGAGGTTCAGATGAGTGGCATGGCCTGTGTGTCGTGTTGAGGTCGAGGGTCGCGGTCGTGGGTTAAGCGTCAAAGCCAAGTGGGAGTTCGCTGGGCGAAGCTTGAGGGAATGCAGGCGCTGTGGGTGGCACCTGCCGTTCCAGCCTGCCACTGCCCGCCTTTCATTGGCCGCGGAGTGACTGCAGGGTTCGGCCCTTCCAAACAGAAACCCCGGTCACTCCGCATCGAGACTCTAGGAAGCCCGAAACGTCGCAGCATGAAGCCTTTAGAGTGGGCCGCGTGTGCAACTTCAAACTCGAACAGAAGCCTCTTGCACGGTGTTATTTCGAAGCATCGCTCTAGAGTAATCAGCGACCTCCTTAGCTGGCAATACGCTTGGCGCATTGAGCAATCTCATCGCAGCAGGGAGCGACCAGCTTCGGATAATCTCGGGGCGACTGGGGAAGCCCTGGCCCCCGGGGGCTTCCCACACGAAAACCTAAACACCCACCTTCCAGCTACTGCTACCGCATACGTGCGTATCCACACCGAACAATTCGCCCGTGTCACCGGGGAGCCGATCAAAACAATAGCTTGAAATTCTGGAATTGCCTTCCAAAGTCCGGCTGACAGCTTAGGGCTGAGATCTAACAGATGGCGTGATCTAGTTGACAGACGTTACTTCCATGGCGGAAGCTGCACCATGACCGCGGCCGAGCCTGCCAACAACATCAACACTCTCTTAGTTTAACCTCAATCAGACGACATATCCTGCTTCCCTGTCTTCGCCAAACATCTCTTGCGACTGAGTGGTCTGTATGCTAGGCGTTGTAGCCGGATGCTCTGCCGAAAACACTCCGTGCTTACCGCGTGCATACACGTCGCTTAGCCGAAGAGAGCGTATTCGGCTCATTCAGCTTGCGCATCGAATTGTCTTGATACACTCAACCTTGGAAAATATCAAGCTTCAGAACAACCATCGGCTCAAGCTGCTTCGTGCGGATCAACATCCGACGAAGCTTGAATGCCGCCTACGTGTTGGCCATGTGCATCTAGAACCTCCACTTATTACTGCCTGTTATGGCGCACTTCCTTCCTCAGTGAGAACATGCAGTCCGTTTCCTGTATTTGTGCGCCAAGGACACTGCGCGCTGCCGACTTCCGCTGACGTCTCGGGAACCCGCAGCCAGTTTCTGGAGAATCCACTGAACGTGTGGAACGTGCTGTCCGCGGAACCTCATCTCAGCCCTCACCGCCAGAGGGACTGGAGCTACTTAAACAGTAAACAGGTGTGACTGAGGCTACCAGCTTCAACGGCGTGGACGCTACGCGATCAATAGCAGTGCCATCCAAGCCATCATCATGGATGTGCAAAGAGCAGCTAACGTCTACCACACGGACCACGCGTTACTCTTTATTGTTGTCATTATCACGCTGCTGGTAATGATGCTCGTGTCCGCGACACTCTATGCATCCTGCGTGCTGGGACGCGCAGTATCGATGAACTCGCTCGAGATTGCGAAAACCTTTAATGCACCGTTGCTTGCGATAGAAGACAGCAACAATGACAATAAGGGGCTGGTCAAAAGTCTTGACACAAAGCCAATCGATATCGTCCTATCACGGAGCCTACGGAGCATGTATCAGTGGCTGGGGTGAAAGGCAATATTACTGTCATGCAGAGTGGCATGAGGTCTGCGTTTTTGGGAATCGCGGAGCGTGACACGGTTCAAGCTCCACGAGCTGGTCAGCACTTCAAACCTTGAGGGCAGTGTTAGTGGAACTTTCAGGAGCTGGAGATGTTTTTTCGACTTGGTTCTTTGCTTGATGGTGGCAGGGTCGTCAGGAATGTGGGCAACGTTCACTGTCCTAATGTTGTACGAGAGAACACGCTGGAACGTATCCATGGATACTTGAAGACCGAAAATACTTGCGCGAGATCTTCTGGATAAATTTCATACACGGTGACTGGCAAGTTCTTGAACGACTAGGCGATTCTTGTCGCGCGTGAAAATTATTGCCTCACGCGTACATCATCCCCAACAATGAATGATGGAGAAACAGCAAACTTG